TCTTTCTTTCTTTCTTTCTTTCTTTCTTTCTTTCTTTCTTTCTTTCTCTCCATCTATCTACCTACCTATCTATCTTTCATCTATCTATTTATCTATCTATTTACCTACCTACCTATCTTGGAAACTTAACCTAGGATTTTGTGCAATGTTAAAAAGTATACTCTCTGCCACTGAGATCCCTACCCCTCCAACTTTTAATTGGAGTGTTCTGAATATAATCAGCACAGCTGAGTTTACTACAGTCCCTTTTCATTCTCGGTTTTTCTTCCCAAGAACCAAACCTATGTTCTTTGCAAATGGAGCAAACACTATGACTGCTGAGCCATCTCTCCAGCCCCAGTCTGGGTTGGTTCCTATTCACTGATTTCTTTTAGCTACCTGCTTCTTATATGCCGACTTTCCCTTGGCCCTCTCTCAGGCAAGGTCTCTGTGTAGCCCAGCTTGATCTTTAGGCAATCCTCGTGTCTCAGCCTCCCAAGTACTAGGACTACAAGTGTGTGTTACCACCCCTGGCTTATGCCTAATCATTTTCGATGGGTACCAGCTACCATGAACTTTACACTGCTGGGCACTGGACTGCTGGGCACTGTTGCATTCTGTGGTGGCACACAGCTAAATGACTTGAACTAGTTTAATTCTCTAAAGGCTTCTTCTCAGACCCTGAAACAAAGGGGACAGAGCACCCTTCCTCCCGTATCACTTTAAGCACCTACAAAGTCCTACAGAGGACTCCGAGCACCGGCGCCAACATCAAACAACTCCAGGTGGGCGCCAAGCACTGCGCATCCTGTTCTTTTCTGGGGGTTCTTTCCCTGGTCTCAAAATTTTCCTGCCATGTATGCACCAACCAACTCAGCCCAAACTCTCGGAGATACTACTCCAGGCTTATCAAGTGCTCAAACACACTCATGGCTGTGCGAGCTCTTCCTTTGGAATGTCTGTTTTTCTGTCCAGACTCTGATTTCCACCTCTTATCAGTTCCACTTTCCCGCCTGTACCACTGTCTGTGGCACGCTGGTGGGATCAGAGGCTCTGCACTGTTTCTTCCCTTTGAGAGCTCAGAGCGTAGGATGACGACGTAAATGTCCCGAAAGCCACTGTCTTCTCTGTTCAAAACTAGGGGTTTGTTTTCAGCAGGAGAATAATGCCCACCTCACTTCAAGGGCAAGGCAGAACTCTCCCATGGCTCTGTTAGACATAAACCTATTTCTAATCTCCTGACTTCGCTACAATACTCTGCCTGGTCAGGACCCAGATCATTAAACTAAGGCATACTGTGGAAATGGAGAAAAGGCGTGGGAGGAAGCAGATAGGATCAGGTTCTGGGCCTGAAGCTGCTGGAGAACACATGTTGTCTAGAGACTGGGTTTGCTTTTAGAAGTTCAAAACAATGCCTCAGTTTCCTCACTGGCCTCAGTCACCTCACATGTAAAACCCATGGGATGAAACTATCATGTTCTTTATGGAACATATGTATATTCTCTTTACTGTTTGTGAAATCTAGTCCTTTTAGCTATCACCTCTTTAGGGCTAAGCAGATTGGCCAAATTCCTCAGAATGGTTTCTATTCACACAGACCCCATGGGCACTAAGCTGTGAAGCTCTGAAGGAGCTACAGTTATGGTTCAAACAGCACAGTAAAAGCACAATATGAAGCAGAACACTGGGTCCCATGCTAAATTCTAAAAGAAAGATATTCCCTTCAATACTTCCTACAATCAGCCTACTTCCTACAAAAACCCTTCCTTTTTCATCTAGCCTGTAAATTATTCACATATGCATTTCTTCTCAAAAACATTTCTTAAGATTCTTTTGTTTCTATGTGTTTGAGTATTCTGCCTGCACTGTCTGTGCCGATGGACATCAGAAGAGGGCATTGGATTTCCTGGAACTTTAGTCAGAGATGATCATGAGCCACCATGTGGGCTCTGGGAACTAAACCAGGGTCTTCTGCAAGAGCAGCCAAGTGCTCCCAATCGCTGGCCCAACTCTCCAGCCCCTCAGTTTTTTCCTAAAGAAAACCAAATTTCTGTTTCATTATCAATACCAAGAATATAAACTTTTCCCTAAAAATAAATTTTGTAGTACTCTGCATCATAATTCCTGACCGCCGTGGCTGGTCATGAACTATTTCTTGTTTTGTTATTCATACTAAGAACACCAATTTTCCCTGATAACTTCTCTCTGTGTGTGTGTGTGTGTGTGTGTATGCACATATGCATGAGTATGTGTACATGTGCTAAAGACTATCTTGCATGTATGTGGTTTCTTGGGAACCACACTTTTTTTTTTTTTGGATATGTTCTCTGTCTCTCTCTCAGGGGCTTTCTAGACAGCCCTGAACTCACAGAGATCCACCTGCTTCTGCCTCCCTAGTGCTAGAATTAAAGGCATGGGCCACCATTCCTGACCAGACAGGGTCTCTGTAACAGGACCTGGGACTTGCCAATTAGGCTAGGCTAGCTGGCCAGGGAGCCTAAGGGGTCCATGGTCTCTCCAGCACTGTGACTGTAAGTGTGGGCTACCACACCCAGCTTCCCCTCTTTCCTTATGTGGGCTCCAAGGACTGAACCCAGGTCCTGTTGCAAGAACCTTCAGTAAAGTTACTAAACTGCTGCCCCAGCCCTTTCCTGTTAAATTCTTATAGAATTCTTAAGATTACAGTTTACTAGATTTTATTTCCTTGGGCAACTGAAGAATGTTTTATAGCTGACAAGGCCACTTGCTATTTGCACTCGGGCCAAAGGAGCCACATTTTTAATAAGTGTTAGTGGTGGTTTGGAACTTCACTGAGATCATTTCTTTCTACACATTTTCCTGTGATCTTACGCCAGCCCTTTAATTCCTCCATCTTCCTCCCTCTCTCTGTCTGCACGTCTCTATGACAGTGCAGTATTCTCCCTTACACCCAAGAAATTACAGCGTACCAAACCTTAGAGCACAGTGCCATCAGCTGTTACCTGGTGAGATCCGGCGGAAGGCGGACTCTTTACTAGCCCCTCTGTGTCGGAGGGATACTTCCGTGGAGCCTGCTTAACTGGTGACAAACGCTCTGAAGTACTGCAGCTGATGAAGTGACAATTTGAAGAACAAATGTAAAAACAAAAAATTATAATAAATGGAAACAAAAGTGATGTGCAAGTGACGGCACAATGAAGCAATGGATACATAAAAGCAAAAACAACAGAAAACAAAACAATGGGTCTCAGACAATCGATAGTTTGAAACTATCTTCCACTCCTGAAACTGTAGCATTCTTCTAAACCCACCAGCATGTTGCTGAGGGGGGGAGAGAGCACCACTGATTCTGTCTGTGTGGTGCTTTTATGTCTCCTGCCATCCACCCCACCTCCGGATAAATGTTTAAAGGAATAAGCTCTCCTTGCTTAGTGGCCAAGTGCGTCAGTCATCATCAAAGGAAAGGCCCTTCTGGGTGAATTTCGAAAAGAACAGGTCCACATCCAGACTCAGCATGGTGGCTTCCCTCACTTCTTCCAATCTTTAGTTCCCCACATTTTGTTTTCCTATCAACACTACCACCAAATAAAACCAGAAACACAAAAACCTCAAAACATGAACAGCCAAGAAATCACGACCCACAAGACACTGTGGAGCCCAACATGTAACGGAACATGCGCTGCACTCTGTGAGAGACACAGGGCCATCTTTGACAAGTGCTACCTCAGCCAGGCAGTGGCGCATGCCTTTAGTTCCAGCAGTCGGAAGGCAGAGGCAGGTGGATCTCTGTGAGGCCAGCCTGGTCTACAGAGCGAGTTCCAGGACAGCCAGGGCTATATAGAGTGACCCTGCCTCAAAAAACCAACAAAACAAAAATGAAACAAACAAGTGCTACCTCGTGAATAAATCAGGGCAAATGAACACCAGGAAGGTTATTAGGGCTGTGTCATTAGTGCTGATGTACTAGCTTAAGAAGTAAGGAGTCTGGAGAGGACCACATTTAAAGTGTCATTACTAAAGACCAAAGCATCGTGGGCACTTTGCAAACCTCCTTCTCTGAATGGGGCCACATGCCCTAAGCCAAACTGTTCAGTTATTCTAACACAAATGTCTTAATCTTTAACCATAAAACTCATGTATGAAAATCACACACACATATTTCACGTGAAGGGCACACACATACACACACTCAGATGAACCTAAATTCATCTGGATGTTATGTTTTGTTTTCAGGAGAGTCGAATGACACATTCATGAACAAACCAAAACAGCTGTCGGGTTAGCACAGGGCTGGCTGGTTAGTGTCGACAGGGGGAATGGGTGGAGCACGTACACACAGCATTAACAAGCAACGGGCCACGTGGTGGGTTACCATGTGTCTGGTGGGAGCAGAAGAGGCGCCAGCCTGGTGACAGTGTCACCGTGTCTTCTATGTCAGCTTTTCTTAAGAAGGGAAGCTAACCAGGACTCGGGCCCAGCACACCCAGAAAGAAAGGCAAGAAATGGGGGTGGGAGGAACCACAGTAAGAACAGCGACAACCACGGAGCCATGCAGGCAGGACCCCAAGGAATATCCTCCTGCCACTTTATTAACCCCGAGCAAGAACTACGCCTCCAGCGTTACTACCTTAGATTAGTCCCATTTTGAAAACCGTCAATCCCAGCGTATTTAATCACAAAACACTCCTCATGCAAGGGGCAATCGTCAGCAGAAGCATTCCAAGCAAATAACACCTGAATCAGAACACGCAGACCTGTCTAAACACAGCACTCCTAACAACTGTGGGTCAGCAAAGCCCACAGCAAGAGGCCCCGCCCCCCCAGGCATGCAGTCTCTAACCACAGTCGCTCTAGACCGGCTCAAGTTAGCGTGTGCGCGTGTTCGCGTGTGCAATGCTGCTCATGCATATACCTCCTTGAACGCAGCCTTCACCCCCGGTCTAAGCGTGTGGGTGCTATAGCTTATATGGGTTAGCTTTCCAGCTGGAGTGGGGAAAAGAGAAGGACTCGCAGTCAGGCACGGCCTACACTCAGATGTCCCTTGTGAAGCAGCTCCTTCCTTCTTCCTCTTACGGCTTGACATTAACCCTTATTCTCCCAGTTTAGGTGCATGTAACCAAGGGAGAGCAAAGCGAGGAAGCTGCTCGGGTTGCAGTGTGCTGGAAACTACAGCAGAGAGAAGCCTTGAATCACACTGGACCAGGAGGGCCATTTACGACAGAGCATCTCCAGTGGGATTTTATACAACCAAGCAAAAGGAAGGCCCTTATAAGATTAATAACAACACATTACAATGAAACTGGTTTTTGGTTTTTTTAACCTTTTCTCGTTTCATTTTTTTTAAACATTTATTTGTTTGTTCAGGGTGGGGGCACGCACTCGGAGCACGGCGTGCTAATGGAGGTGAAAGGAGAACTTGTGGGGAGTTAGTTCCCTCCTACCATATGGGCTTCAGGGATTAACCTCCAGTCATTCATTTGGGGTGGGCAACCATTATCTTCATCTGCTGTCGCATCTTACCAGTATGTAGCCAAGTATGACCCTGAACTATTTCCCAGGAACTAGAATTGCAGGCGTGTGCCACCATGCCTGGCAAGATTAAACCCTTAAATTGGGTAAGTGATGTTTGCGGCTGAAGCTCAGCACATGACTGCTGAGCAAATCAATTCTCCCAACCTCAGAAGGAGACTGCAGAGCAGACTGGCCTCCTACGCCAACAGCAAGCCCAGCTGACATCTGCTTTCTAACAACACAGCACCCAGGACTGATTGAGGCCGACAGAGAAGCAAACAGCAGATAATTCTCCACAGCGCTTTTCCCATAAAAAGTAAATTTTTATTTAAGCCCAATTTTTTTCTGTCCAGCCCTTTCCTAAAAGACAGCAGTTCTTACCCGGTATAATCCCGCTTTGCGTGTTTCCTTCTGTAGAGGACAACCAGGACCAGGCTGATGAGCAGAGTGAGGCCCAGGACCACAGCAGTAACAGTGCCCACCACCACCCAGACCAGGAACACCAACAGATTGTCTAGAGGGAGGGCAGGGCGAGGTTCGGGTACGGGAGCAGAGAGAAGAAAGGGAACTTCATTAGCTCAGTAAGCAAGGGTCTCCCTTTAGCGGTTATCATTTCATTTATCCTCTTTCATCAGCCAAACCCATGGAGCAGCATGTAAGGATGGCCCAGGGCTGCCATGCCCAGGGCCTGTCAGCTGAAGACGACCCAGGGAGCCAGGCACTGCTACCCCCAACCCTCTCCACAGTCAGAGCGGATCTGGTGACTCTCCAGCACAAGGCGGCCTCCGGAGGAGACACTGGCACCCACCCGCACTCCCCTGCACAGCCTCAAACACGGGAAGAAATTACTCTACTACTTTGAGGCACACTAAAATATCATCCTAGACAATATCAAATTAGCCTCAGTCAGGGCTGGAGAGATGATGGCTCAGAGATTAAGAGCACTGGCTGTTCCTCCAGCGGTCCTGAGTTCAATTCCCAGCAACCACATAGTGGCTCCCAACCATCTATGACGAGATCTGGTGCCCTCTTCTGGCATGCAGTTGTCCATGCAGGCAGAACTCATATACATAATACACATAATAAAATAAATACATCTTTTAAAAAAGCCTCAATCTCCTTTCCCCACAGCCCACTTCATCAAACTAGAGTGAATTTGGTCTTTTTTGGTCTTAACGTCGAATCAGAGCCACAGGCTCCAGATACAGGTGTGGGAAAGGAAGCCACCTCCTGTCCTGATGGAGCAGCAGCTCCCAAACCATCAGCTCTGCTGGGCTAAACCACCAGGCCACAGAGATGGAGGCACAGCTGGAAGGCAAAGCCTTCCCTACAAGACTCAGGATGTGGCCAGCATCTGTAAGGGCTGGGGTTTGATATCCAACACCATAAAAGCATAAAACTACCCCCCCAATACTTCCTTCCAAATGCACCCTGAAACATAAATCTTATTCCCCAGATAAACATGGTAAAAGAGACCATCAGGTCACATCAGCCACCTTGGGAAGTACCTATTTCCACCACATGGAGCCTAATGTGCCCGGGCCGGACAACAATGTCAGGAGGGTTTTTGACATCACAGATATAGGTGCCATTGTGAACAGCCTGGATATTTTCTATTTTGATTGATGCATCTTTCTTCTCCAGGTCCCCGGCCCAGGTGACTCGGTCTTTAAATGGTGGATAATCTCCAATGTAGACTTGTCCTTGCGAGTAGTGGAAAAACTGCAACGAGAAAACAGGAACAGGTGAGCTGCTCTCAGCGGCGGTACTGTGAGGGCTTCTTTTTAAAAAAGACTCCCACAGAAAGACATGCAAAGCACACGAGGGCTTGGCAAAGGGCCTTTACTCTCCTGTCCTTCTGGCTTCCACCACAGGGTGACACAACAAAGTCCTTGCCAAATGCGGGCTCCACTGCTCTTCAGCCTCCCAGACGCCCATCTGTGAGAAATAAATCTACGTTCCTTATGAATTACCCAGTCATTGCCATTTTATTATAGCACAAAAATGGCTTAGAAATCTATTGTTCATCATAAACCTTGAAGTGCTCCTTCTTCTCCCACTGCCCTCCTCGTGCAACCCGTATCCTAACAGTCAACCAGTTCATATAACCCAAGTTCTCTGTTTTCTTTTCAGTTCCCATCTGATTTCGTCAAGCTTCCCCTTGCCTGCCCTGAATTTCACAAATGACAAATGTGAAGCTCAGAAAAGCGTAGTGACCTGCCCCAGGTCACAGGTCTTGGAGATGGAATTCAAGCCCCTCTTTGATTCAAAGACTAGGCGACTTCTGTTATTTGGCATCTCTCCTGCTCAAAGTCAGCTGCCGTCTGCCTTCCCTTCTCCCTTCCTCCCGTCCCCAGCGAGGAAACAGACAATAAATTGTCAACCCAGCAAAGAAGCCTTCCCTTCCCTTCCTGTAGCATCTCTAAATGCCCCCCAAACTTGCATTCTGAACCAGCAATGGTGACCCATCACGAAGTAGGAGAAGGAACAGTTACTATGTACCGATCCGGGACAAGGAAGCAAAGGTGCACCTAGCCCAGACTGGGGGAAGAGAGGCAGCAAACGTTCTCATTTCTATTAACAGTTCTTATTTCTTATTAAGACCTAACCTAAGCAAAGAACTAACTGGACCAGGCGGAACCATCACTACCGAATCCCACAGAACCACTTTAAAGAACACAACTAAAATAAAAGAACAGAAGAGAAAGAGAGGGGAAGAAAGGTCGGTTCAATGCCAGACATGTGGACCCCAACTTCATGCAGCAGTGGTCAGCACTGTGGAGCATCTTGCTGCATCGGAACATGGCAGAGTACCCTGGGAAGATGGAATACATGTTCTGAGGAACTCTCTCTGCACCATGCGGACCCTTATTTCATCACTTCACCTAATCTCACCCTAATGACCTTCAAACACGATCAGGGGACTAAGATCCAACATGGACTTTGGGGAACACATTCAAACCACAGCCAAAAAAAGAGCTACTCTTCTGGGTTGGTTGATCTGTTTGTCTTGGGGAAGGGTGGCATGGAAGGACAGGGTACCCCTGTGTAGCCCTGGACATTCTGCAACTCACTTTGTAGACCAGGCTGGCCTCAAACTCAGAGACCCCCCGACCTCTGCCTCCCGGATTCTGGGATTAAAGGTGTGCCACCACACCACACCGGCCCAAGAGCTAGACACTCTTACTTAATGATGGAGGGCATTCTTGCCCTGTCGAGTACCAGCAACTCGGTGCACATTACTAAAGCAGGTGCCAGTGTCCAAAGGACACACAGCGGACCCACAGGAGAACAGGGCCATCAAGTCTCTACCTTAGGACTGCAAGAACCAGACACCATACTGAGAACTTCCCTGTTCTCAGCCGCCTTCTGTGGGAGGTTTTATCAGCTCCCTTTGTAGACAGGGATGGGAAGCGTTGGTCCATATCTAACAAGCTCTTGCTACATAACTAGCCTCTTCCAGTCACTGATTCTCTGTGATGATTAATCTCAACTATGATCAACTCTAGACACACCTGGAGGATGGGCTCTGCGCATGCCTGTGGGAGATCGTCTTGGCTTAATTAACTGACACGGGAAAATTTGCCCACCATAGCTAGTATCATTCTCTGGGCTGGGATCTGGATGGCATCAAAAGGGGGGAGTGAGCTGAGTATGCATTTGTCATTCCGTGCCTCCCTGAGCCACTGTGCTGTGGCCAGCTACTGCAAGCTCTGCTGTCTTGACTGCTCCCCTCCATAATGGATGGTGCCGTTGAATTATGAGCCCAAATAAACCCCTTCTCCTTAGCTTGCTTCTGTCAGTATTTTATCACAGCAACAAGGAGAAAACAGGACAGCACGTGTGTCCCACCTCTCGGCACCTTCCTTCTGTTGTGTCCCTTGTCATCCTGGAACGACGTGCCAGGCTTCCTTCTCAGTATGCTCAGGTAAGAGCAAAGACAGACTGATACATATAGAGATCATAAAATAAATAGAAACACAAGCTGGAAAGGTGTGGGATAAGGCACAGTCCAGCAGAGGCTGCTGTGCAGAAGTGAACGACTCCACGTGGACTCTGATGGTCGGAAACTAGGGGATGAGGTGGGGAACGGCAACACAACAGACACACGGATGACATGGCAAAGAACACAAATTAAAAGACAAGAAAATAAGCTGCATTCAAAAGATGCTGAGCAAACTTTTTCCTGGCACATTTTGAAGCACGAGAAGAGAGAGCCTTTCGGTATCTCATTTCAGTAATGGACGGTCAGAGTGGATCACTGATCACAGGAGAGTACAGCAGTGTGTGCGAGGCAGTGAACGCAGAAGGAAGAGGAGGGAGGAGGGGCAGGAGGGCGGTGGTCCCTACCGACACAGCGCTGTCAGTGCCGTCGGGCTGGAAGCTCCAGGAAACAATGGTCAACCATCCAGTCGTATTAGGAGAGTCGAATGTGCACGTGAGCTTCCCCTGTGTCCCGTTCACCACAAAGATCTCTTTAGGGGTATGCACCTCCAAGGCTGATATTCTCGCTGTCACTGAAAACAAACAAACAAAGTTTAAGAACAGGATTTGGCACAAATTCCACTGTGCACATTTACCAAAGAAAGGTTACAGGTTTTCCTCATAATAAGTGTTTAACAGTTTGGGAGACATGTAGTTTATTTAGAGACAGAGCCTCACTACGTGGCCCAAGCTGGCCTCGAACTCAGAATTCTCCTGCTTTAGCCTGGTTAGTGTTGGGATTACAGGCATGGACCACCAGACATGGTTTATTTTGAGTTTTTATTAATTAAAGATTAATTTTCTTTTTCACTAGTTTGGCTATAGTTATTTTTTTAAAAAGATTTATCTATTCATTATATATAAGTATTCTGCCTGCATGTGTTGCCTGAAGGCCAAAAGAGAGCACGAAACCTCATTATAGATGGTTGTGAGCCACCATGTGATTCCTGGGAATTGAACTCAAGACCTTTGGCAGAACAGCCAGTGCTCTTAACCTCTGGGCGATCTCTTTAGCACCCCCCCCCTTTTTTTTAATTAACAGATGAGCCAGGTTTGGTGCAAATGCCTTTAATCCCAGCACTCCAGAGACAGAAGCAGTGAGATCTTTGTGCGTTTGAGGACACCCAGGGTTACAGTGAGTTTCAGGTTGCCCGGGGAGACGTATTGAGACCCTGTGTGTATGGGGGTGCAGGGAGGCCTTTTTGAGGCTGGAAAGATGGCTCAGCAGTTTAGAGGACTTGTTGCTCTTACAGAGGACCTGGGCCTGATTCTCTCACATATAAGATAAAATGAATAAATGTAAAAAAAAAAAAAAAATCATTCACAGGCGAGAACAAATAGTAAAAGCAGTTTCATGTTTACAGAAACCTGCAGGCAAAGTGTAGAGTTCCCACAAACTCCATCCCCTCCTCCAGTCTCCTCTCTTACTATAACATCTGGCGTTAGTGTGGCACATTTGTCTCAATTATAAACATATTGCTACACGACCGTTAACTAAGATCCCACTTTACATTAGGGTTCACTCGTGGGAAGACTCCTGAGTCCTATGGATTTTAACAATGAGCGTGACAACATATATTCCTCACTGAGGCATCATATCTAATATTTCACTCTCCTAAACATCTCTGATTAGGCTCCTGGCCCTTTCCTGTCTCCAGCGTTTTGTCTTCTTCAGGGAGCCAGACAGCAGCTGGCCTTGCAGAGTGGCTTCTCTCAACCATCAACAGTCTCTCAGGCTTCTTACAACACAGCAACAGTAAAGCAACTAATACAACGAGAAACACCCCGCTCGTCCATGGAAAGCCTTCCTGGTAGTGGGTGTGTGTGTGGGGGGGACAAATGCCCTTAGTCTCAGCTCTCAGAAGGCTGAGGCAGGAGGATCTCTGTTAGTCTGAGGCCAGCCTGGTCTACAAAGTATGTTCCAGAACAGAAAAAAAAAAAAAAAAAAGCCTTCTTGGGTTTCCCTGGTGACCTATTTTTAATACCACTAAGGTCTTATTCATACTTCTCTGAACAGTTTTTGTATTTATGTGATATACTCCAGTTGTTATCACATAAGCTTTACTCACATTTATATCTAAAGGAATTAATCTAAGATCATTTTGTTATTACTTAACTGACATTCTTCTGGTAAAGGACTCAAGGCAGGGAAATGTATAATCTATTTGGTTTTGTGAGTTTAATCTTACCGCCCTTAAACTTGCCCTGTGCTAGGGACAAGGGGCTCTAGAAATAGTTGATCACATCAGTTCAGGTTTGTATTTCATCCTCCATGTTTGTTCAGTCAGCCCAAGCCCAGGAAATGCTAATTAAAATATGTCTAACGTTTGCAATTTTAAAACAGTCGTTTTTTTTTTTTTTTTCTCTTGGAGACCTTACCCAAGTGCAGGGGGGGTGGCTAGAGGCTGCAGCCTGTAAGACGTCTTCAGTCAGAACAGAGGCACTGTCACAGGCTAAATGCCTTTTTCCTGAAACTGTTAACCTAAAAACACCCATCTGCAAAATAAGGTCTTCTTTTAAGAAACCGTTTGGAATAGATACCTGCTGTGTTCAACTACTCTCAGAATGTAACAGTCCAGCATTATCACCGGGACTGACAGTCATTTTCTCCCTGAAGGCTTAGCTGTGGCTCCCGCCAAGGAGAATAAGGGCACCCCCCATTACTCCCAACCATCTTGCAAATGTTTGTTCTCAGAATATAATGGCCACTTTGGCTATTCTTTTAAATAAACTGATAGCCACACTGAAGCAGGCAAATTTTTTTCTCCTCAGAGAGGGTGGATTATTATTACAGGGAACAATGGATTATTATTTGCAGCCCAGGCCTCAAAATAAGCCTTTCTTTGAGACTAGGAGCAAACAAAAGGCGGGCCTTGCAAACTGTGGGGAGGCAGCAGCAGCCCTGGGGGAGCTGGGTTCAGAACCAATGACAAGGAACAAGACAGGCCAGTTAACTGGCTCATGGCAGGAGCATTAGCTTTACGTGTTCCTCACTTACTCTTGTGTGGTTTTGACACGTTTTTTCCTCAGATGGTGAGAACTGCAAGTCCCAGTCTCTGATGTCCACAAACAAAGTTTCCCAAGGATTTTATTAAGTTAGAGCCTTGTCTCGGGGCCCAGCTGCAAAGGGCTCTTTCCTTGAGATGTCCCATGCAGAACTGGGGAAACTAGGTAAGGTCACATAGGCCTGAGATCCCTGCACTGGGGGCCTAAGCAGGACACTGAGGGATAGAAGCCAGCCTGGCCTAGACAGTGAGCACCTATTTAAAAAAAGAAAGCCAGGTGGCAGAGTTTACAGTCAAGAATTTTGAGAAAAACATTAGTCAAACACCGAATAGGTTTTTGGCAGTCTAGGTGAGATGATTTCATTACTTAAGGCTGCTGAGGAGAGCAAACAAGTGGCCTTTCATTGTGAAACACCTTCCCACCAGTTCTTCTGCACACGTCACTCTCAGAGCCAGGCTAGGAGTTCTAACTCAACAGGCCTGGTGTCTAACTTCCAACTCTTTTCTCATGAAGAAACCCAAATCAGATTTTCCTGCTCCTCCAATCAAAATGTGACCTTCACGTGGCTTAACCAATGTTAACTTCTGAATCTTAACAGAGTTCGTCCTTGCTCCTTGAAATTTTAGTCTGGCTCTGGAAGGCTGTTCTCCCTGGAACTCTTACCTCGCTGCTCTCCCTGCTCTCCTCATCCCCACAAGTCAAAGAGCCCCAGGGTAGTCCCTGAGACCCACCTGCACTTCATGGTGCTTTTTGTGACTTCATCTCCCTTCAGAGCTCCTAAAAGTGATGACTCAGAACCTGAGACCGACATCTGTCACAAATCTGAATTGCCCAAACCAAACTCCTAATTCCTGACTTGCAGAGCTGTCCTCACTCTTCTTCCTCACAAGGTCCAAAGCTGTCTAGAAACCACCTTCTCCCTAATTTAAACCACAGTTCGACTCTCTCCAAGCCTCAGTGCTACAGTCCTGGAGGAAGGCAGCACTTCATTCAGAAAACTTCGGTGGCCTCCTAACCAGTGTCTTCACTCCCAGCCCCACCCACTTAACTGCAAGTGTCCCACACAGAGCTCGGAAAGGTTTTGTTGAAAAGAAAAATAGGTAAGATCACGTCACTCCTCCATGCAAGCCTTCCAGGGCTCCCTACATGACTCAGAACCAGGCCAGTTCTCACATTCCCTGAGGCCTTCTCCCCCAGCTCTCCAACCTCATTCAAACATGCTGCTGCGTCCACCCCTCCTGAAGAAGCTAGGAATGTATCTAAGGGTGGAGAGCACCATGAAGTACAAGCCTGGGACTATCTCAGAAAGCCGGGATGATGAGAGGTAAAGGGAAAGTATTGTGTCAAAAGCTCTGCATAGCTCTCTCAGGAGAAAGCCCTTGCTTGAGTCTGCACATGGTTTCTACGCAGTAACAGCAGCTAAAGCCCAGCCAGTTTATACCGAGCAACAGTGACTCTTGCTTAAACTTTTCTCTCTCTCTCTCTTCTCTCTCTGTCTTTCCTTCTTTCGTTGAAAATTCCTTAATTTTTTTTATTCCTGGCACTACTAGTACAATTTACAGGGAAATATACCTGGTGTAATGAAAAGCTACAAAAGAGAAAAGACCTCGGGAATGCATTAATAAACAGCTGCACATTTTGCAAACTGTGCTATGACAGTCCTGAGAAAGAAGGCTTCCTGTTTAAGCTGCAGTGATGTTTCTGACCATGGACCATCGTTCCTTCGGTGGCTGATTTTTACAGTTCCTCTAATGCATTTGGAACAACCGTCTCAAAGTAACCTGCAGCTTCCCTGACAACGCCTCCCTCTCCTCCATAGCCATTTTCTGCATTTGTTAAACCTTCTGCTACCATATCTACCACTTCCGCCACCAGACCAACAGCTGACTCCTTTATGGACTCCCTAAGCATCGCCTGACGCCACCCTCATCCGTGGACCCATGCTTTGACTGTTGTTGCCCGCTGTAATTTCCAAAGTTGTCAGCATTCCCATCACCACCACAGCTATCTCCACCAGTTTCCTCCTTCACGACCTCCTCCACCATAGCCTCCTCTGCTGCTGTAACCATGACTACCACCACAATCGCTACCATCATCTCCAAATCCACCATCACCACGTCCATGACTCCCCCTGCTGCCACTCCTTCACCACCACAACCTCCACCTCCGAAGTTTCCACCACGACCAAAACTACCTCCAAAGTCTCCCCCAGAACCCGTACAGTTGCCACATCCACCTCCTCGACCTCTCCGGGATCCAGCAGACTGCATCTCTCGTATGGAAATAGCTGTCTCCCTTCACAATTATGCCCACTGACTGACTTCTCTGGGATTGGCAGACTGCATCTCTTGTTTAGAAACATCCCTTGACAATCATGCCCTTTGACAGCTGGCATTTCTGAACACTTTTATCAACTGTGTCATGATCATCAAAAATTACAAAAGTAAATCCTTTCTTCTTTCTTTCTTTCTCTCTCTCTCTCTCTCTTTTTCTGCTCTGCCTGACTTCCAGAACTTGGATGGTTTCA